CAGATAATGACGGGTGTCTGCGCTCATACACGCTGTCTGTCTGAGCTGTCTGTCCGACTCACTGATGCTTAAGACTAGTAACCCATTGACAGATAGAAAACAAGTTTAGTCTCTCTAATAGGTCTGCAAAACTAGTTTTTTAGATATGTTTTACTACTCGTGAAGTTATTTTTGTTTCAAAAACTAGTTTTACACTTATTTTTGGCATTTTTGTACTGAAAGTCATCGAAAGTGAAAAATTCATTAAATTTTCGTTCAAATAGTAATTAATGTTTTTTATATGAATACAATAATTATTGTATTTAGCAGTCATATTGTTATTTATAAATTTTAATTAACAGAAATTAGTATTAATTATTCTAAAGCATTTCTACCTTATTTTGATAGTGTTCATTTATTAACTGTCAATAAACGTTAAAATAATAATTGTTTATATACGCTAATGATTTTCAATGATATATTTACACAGCTTTCTATTGTTTAAGATGTTCAGCAGTTCATGACCTAAAGATCAGGAGGGAAAAGGAGGGGAGGGCTGCCCAACAAATATCATACAAGAATCTGTGAAATGAATTTTCTAAACACCACGTATATAATCTTAAACATCATAATTAACGTTTGTCCAAATATATTAGTTATTAATTTTAAGATATTAATACTTTCATCAGATTGCCATTAACTTTCAATTTACTAAACATATTATACAAACTATTTTAATTTTATATATTCTTAATAAAAAATATATACTATAAGTGTGTTTGATACATTAATTTCCTTACAAATTATCATACTATTAACACATACCTTTACGACTTAAATATTATTGTCAATAATTTATTGACTACAGTATTTTAAGTGCAAAATTAATATATTTTTAATAAATTAAGTTATCATAAAAAATAATATTTAAAAGTCTTTATATAGTCTTCATTTTAGTGTATAAAAATGAAAAGTAATTAAGAATAGATAGTAATTAAATTAAATTTTATTAATTTGTTGCTGAACACATTACAGAATCTAAATTTTGTTAATACATTCATATAATTGTACTTGATCATTGTCGATACCGTATTACCGATAAAAAAAATTTATTATAAAACCATAAATACAATGATAAAACCGGAATACACATACAGGGGGTGACCCTACCCGGCCGCCTGGGTGACAGCTTGAAGGTCCGTTTTCAACTGCTCGACCATAGTTAAGGCCTGTTGACACGCAGTGGGCAAATCAATTTTACCGGATTGTACCTTGCTGTTCAGGCTCTCCTTATTGGTTTTGAAGGTCTTGAGATCGGTCTGCAATTTGGTGAGTGCTGTCTGGTATTGCGCCGGCAGTTGGGCCTTCTGGGCCATAACGGTGTCCAACTGTTGCTGGGCACCAGTGATGGCAGTCGTCAGTTGAGTTGCCTTTGCACTGAACGCCGCCTTTGTCTTGCAGTCGGCCTCCGTATACGGACCTATTGGGTGGTCATAGTTGCCATAAGAGGTGTACATGAGATCATAAGTTTCAAGTTACTTTAAATACAATTAATTTAGTTATTATACTGTTATTGAATATAAATTGTGTTTTACTTTATCCACTTAATTTACAGTATTTTATGTAATTCTCTATGTGCTTGTTTATTCTTGTATGTAGTATTAATTATCCTGTATCACTGATTCACTGAATTGAGCTCCATGTATTACAAATAACAGTACTATAGGTCCTATAGTATAATAAATGTATATGCTACCTACTTTTGAACCACACAGTTTATCTATTATTATTATTGGTTTAACTTATTGAACGTTATTATAATAATAATTAAATAATTACAGTACTTTTGATACGGTATCATATTAATATTATCAGCTAGAAAATATTTAAAATAAAAAACAATTTTTTTATTCACTCGTCGAAACACAGAATATTATGATTGCAATATTTGTTGCATATAATGAAATAATTAAAATGTCTAATCAATTATTTAAGAAAATGTTTGGTAAAAAATAAGATAAATCAATTATTATACATACAAACTACCGACGCAATGAGAATGGCTGCCAAACACGACCCAAGTATTAGTTTCATGGTTTCAAAATTTAATTAATTGGTCTGAGACTTGATTAATTGATTTCAGGTTAAAATTAATTAGTAAAATAATAGTCGCTTATATACCCTAATTATTTTTTACTGATTTGTTTGATCAGTTTTTTCATTGTTTCGCAAACAGTGAATATAAAGATCGGGAAGGGATGTAAATAGTGTCTATTTAGTAGACATTAATTTACAAAAGATTTTCGTGACATATATTATTGTAATCTATTTACAAACGATTGAATAATAATTAATTATTTCGACATATTATTCACATAGTTTATATAATAGGCAGCTTACAAATGGTGTACATAAAACATTTAAAATAATATTATTAGTAGTTGTTATTGTGAAATAAATATAATTAGTAATTATTAATTACATTAAAATCATTTTATTTAGAGTATAAAGTTCAATCTTTTTGAATAATTAAATTATTATTAACATAAACATTTGTTTTTAATAATTATATAAATGCATTGAATTATTTCATTTAAACCAAAATGTGAGAGATTATGCAAAAAACAATTAGAATATAATAATTACCTAGACCAATTTAGCCACGGCAATTAAGTCTAGTCCAAGTTTGACAATCATGAGGGTAGCCTCAGTACAGGCGGCGCCCACCGCTATTTTGCCGGACTGTACCCGACTGTTGAGGGATTCCTTACTTTTCTTAAAAGCTGCCAAATCTTTGGAGGCTTTATCGAGCACTCGCTGGTGATCGACCGGCACCGGCCCCTTATGGTCAGCCTTGTAGTGGT